GGCGTGCATTCCTGTTTCTGAACGTGTGATAGCAGTGATAATAGCACGTGACTGTTCCATACCACCAGTTCATGTGAATGTGAAACATTCCATTTTGATGACACGTTTGTCTGTTAAATATCATTTTATGTACAACAAGTAGTGAGTGAGTTTAGTTTTACGCTGCACTCAGCAATATTCCAGTTATATGGCGGCGGTCTGTAAATGATCGACTCTGGACCAAACAATCCAGTGATCAACAGCATGAGCATCGATCTATGCAATTGGGATACGATTACATGTATTAATCAAGTCAGCAAGCCTGATCACCCGATCCCATTACTCGCCTCTTACGACAGGGATGTGTTACTGGAGTTCAACTCTAACCAGGATCTTTACAATCATAATTGGCAGTGTTGTTTTATGTCGTTACAGTCGTGTAAATATTACCTTCACAAACGCTACACTTAGTACTGAAATATTGGTAATTAGGTATCAATAATTATAGCTACGGGTATGGTACCAAGGTCAGCGGATCCTGGTGCAACTAGGAGAGGCAGTTCTGCAACATGGATGCGAACTGCTCAAACCTTGAACAATTGGTATTGGCATTTAACTTGGGAACGGGCACTTGATAACAAGGATAAACTGAATAAAAATTATAATCTTGCATCATTTCTACGGAAGTAGACAATATGTGCATTACTTGGTTTAACCGTGTTCTTTTTAAAGCAAATAAATATGAATGTTTACCAAAGATTTACAGTTTCTTCGAAATGAGAGAAACGATGGCCATTGCAAATATCTTTCTTTCAATCTTGATTATAATATATTGTATATATTTGCGGCTATTTTTTATTACAACAGATGAACTGTATTCTTTCACGACGTGCTGGAGGAATTTCACAAATTTTCAACCTAAAGCAGTTGCCTCAATCTAAGTATGGGCATCGTATATTGTTGCTTACAAGGGTCCCGATCCAGAAAGCCTTCGTAACGTTACGACGTACCGTAACTCTATCATTTATCATAGGCTTACGAATGTCGTAGCGCTACGAACGCTTTGTGGAATGGGACGCTGGGGTTCGATCCACAAAGCCTACGCAGCTCTACGTCATTCGTAACCCTATGATAAACTTTATAGGTACAATACCTCGTAACGTTACGAACATTTTGTTGATCGGAACCCTGGTGTACTAACTAAACCGGGAAGTTTGCAGAATACGGATAAGCAAACACTTGCCTAAACTCTAGGTAATACAGCAATGGCTGGGATATTTGAAAAACATATGTGCATAGATTACAAAGTATCCAGGGCGTTATTTCAAACATCAATACACAAGGAGTACGTCTGAAAGCGCATAATACAAATTGTTCAGGCTAACCAATAAAACGTGTTTCATCACATAAAGATACCACAAGTCCCACTGTAGGGTAAATACAGGACACAGCAGGAACCAATGTGCTCTTGTAACTCGGTCCACAAACCAGGAAGTCTCCTCGTCATCAATAACCTTTAGGACAACAATGTATGTTTTGTATTATACACACTTTGATAAAAGTAAACTCAGGTGGGGAAGGGTCATTGTTGAAGAGAGATACAAGGATGTAGATGTTTAAGTTGTCACGGCGTCGAAGGTGCGTCACACAAAGAATACAAGGCTGTGTGTGACGTTCCTCATCGGCAATACAGAGGAGACATCGTTGTTTGGCAATACAGAGGCATTGTTATACGTTGTTTGTGTAAATATTACGAAGTTGGGATATGGGGTGGGAGACTTTCCCAGCTAGCATTCATGTTGAAGCGTGACGTTAGAGGCTAGGTAACCTTAGGTTAACGCACCACTTGAATCCACGCAGATTCATTTTGAGTATTCACGCGTCTTCGCTCGGTTCAGTTGGAAGCAATACTATAAACTGATTTTGGAAACTCAATGCTTTTCAAAAATTGTTTTTGAATAAAAGAAAACTACTCTCGCTCTATACCTAGGGTAAACAAATGAAATATTTACTTGAGCAGCGACAGCAATGTGTAGAAATCTGCCAACAGGCACAAATAGGGCGAGACATTCTTCTCAAGAATAAAGTCACCTCTTTCTACTCTATGTCACTTATCTACTCTCTGTCGTGAATCAACTCTGTCAAGTTACATATAATGCCAACTACGAAATGTATATAACTGAAGCACATCCCATGGTGGGATATACCTTTCCCTTGCTCAGAAGGGACCGTTCAGAAGACATCTGTGTTTGTGATTTTTGTCATTAACAACTGATTGTATAAGACGATGAATCTTCGTACACGAGGGAACACAAATTGGAAGCGCATAATATTACACACATGGGTGGGTTTCCTAGCATTCATGTGATAGACATTAGAGGCTAGGTATGTGGGTACGAAGTTGGGATGTTGGGGAATGGGAGACTTTCCCAGCAGTTCCATGTGCAAGAATCATGACCACTGAGCCTCCAATAGGGTTGCGTTCAGCGAAGCGTGTCCTCTATGATCACAAAGAAGGACGTTCAGAAAACCTCTCTAAAACTCCTATTTTGTATTATAATACAATAATACCTTGCTTCATGTCGTATTCACATTTATCTGTTATTTTAAATGATATTTTTACATAATTTTGACATACCTGAAAATCATGTTCCTTTGCGTTACAAATACATGACCTTGCATGTGCAGTTAAATGCATGTACACACGGAAAACATGCATTGTGGGCTACTTTCACACAATCTGTCGCAAGTACGAAAGTAAACACATCATTTCCTAGCTTCACAACTTGCAGTTATATCACATGTCCACCTGTATGTAAAAGAACACCTCACACAGCAAGATATTAAATACTGTACTTTGTACCTGAAAATTCGGGTCACCTAAGACAAAACTGTATAATTACCGGTATGACAGAGTTGTATCCCTTAGGTTAACGCACCACTTGAATCCACGCAGATTCATTTTTGGTATTCACGCGTCTTCGCTCGGTTCAGTTGGAAGCAATACTATAAACTGATTTTGGAAACTCAAATGCTTTTCAAAAATTGTTTTTGAATAAAAGAAAACTACTCTCGCTCTATACCTAGGGTAAACAAATGAAATATTTACTTGAGCAGCGATAGCAATGTGTAGAAATCTGCCAACAGGCACAAATAGGGCGAGACATTCTTCTCAGAAGGGACCGTTCAGAAGACATCAGTGTTTGTGATTTTTGTCATTAACAACTGATTGTATAAGACGATGAATCTTTGTACACGAGGGAACACAAATTGGAAGCGCATACACGAAGGATCACCAATACAATCTTCTCCCCGATCGCGATCAAGATCAGCTCTACCTGGACTGTTTCAAGTTGAACGTTTGATCACTCGTCGTAGACTCAAAGAGGTAAGAAGTCATTCTATGTGATTATTAGATTATTAGAAGCAGTATCTTCCAACTTAACACCGACAGTTCGTTAGTAAGGCGTTGTTGTTTTTATTGAATTAAGGGTGTATTAAATTAATCATTGCATTGTCAGTCCATATTATTACACCGAGATATCCAAACATTTGCGTACGAATCATAAATGCATAAGTGAACCTTGATTGCAATACTCATATGCAATGATATGTTTATGTTTATGTTCATAAACATGAACAAACATCGAGGGTACATCAACCCATGGGCCCCGAGGGACCAGTGAACGACGTATTTATCTTACCGAACACCTTAATGTTAAATTTGAATTGTTTGAACCACGGGTACAAATCTCTTTGTAGCCATCGCTAGATTTTGCTGACAAGAAAAACAGATTTAGAGTTCTCTCCTTTCCATCGATTTGCATTCGCAAAACATCGCTAATTTCCGTACATCATACGTGGTTCAATGTTATTCGAGATAAAGAATTACTAACACGAAGTACCAAATGAGGTGCCATTGACAGCGGGGTACATTGAAATGTTACTCGCTTGTAAGCGGGGTACATTGAAAATAATAGAAGAGCGCTCAGCCAATCAGAAAGCGACATTTATGTGTGAGGTAAGATAAAGTGTATTGTCGGATACTTGGCTGGTTTTGTTTGTAGTTTTCCGCAGCACACACTCGTCAATATTTCAGATATATGATCTGTAAAAAACCGAGTCTGGACCAGACAAGACAGTGATCAACATCATGAGCATCGATCTACACAATGGGGATGCGATGACACGTGTCATCGAAGTCACCGAGCCTGTCCACCCGATCTCGTCAGTTGCCTCTGACGACAGGCATGGGTGGCTGAATTCAATTCTAACCGGGATGTTCACGGGATGACACTAGGAATGTGTTTTAACACGAACAAACAGAGCATCGCTGTCTTGAAAGTATTAAATAACAGGTTAACCAGCACGTTCACTGTGACATACCAGTTCATGTTATGACTACGCTAGCATTCACTCTCACCACATTACTCCCGCGTGCTGCAGCTGATCCCTAAACTACCTTGGCTGCAACTAAAATATCACTTGATCCTAATCTATGTTTGTGTTGATGGGCGTATATCCGTTGAGCATTGCTCATAACAGAGGTATGAATGGTGTTCCCGGGTCGATCGTTTACGGGCGTTATAGAACAAACAAACCTTTGTGAGGAATCCGAGATAGACCCCATTTTACTGATGAATTTTTCATTCTATGTTACACTGCCTGGGCTGGCTCCTTGAGTCATTGTGTTCCCACAACGTGAAGTATCAAGTCTGAAGTTACCGAACCGGAAGATCCGGGTTAACATTTTCAGCAGTTGTTGCTCATCGTAAGAGGTGACTAACGGGATAGGGTGGTCCAGCTCGCTGACTTAGTTGACACGTCATCTTGAATATTGTCAAGTACGGCGTTAAACAGCAAACAAACTAAAATCGCAAGTTACCATACATACATCTGTAAGGTTCAAATGTTGATTAATGATATTTTATATAAAAAATGATAAAAGATATTTGTTAATTTGCTGGGGAATAATGCCGATGTCGGCCCTGGACAACATTAGAATCACTGACACAGCCGGGTTGAGTTTTCTAAAAAAAGCCATTTATTCACATATACATCATGAGTCAAAGCAATGCTTGTTTTCATTTAATATTAATTATTATACAATGAAATTATGTCTTCTGTGCATTTTGAGAAAATACATAAAAACGATAATATTACAGTAAGAATTCATACAATGTAACATGATGTACCCCGACCGCGATATAGTTCTGACAAAACCAACAATGAGTTCACGTAGAACCCTGTTAAATATATACATTATCATTCTTATTAAAATATAAAAATATATATATATACGTATAAAAAGCTTAGTCTCAAGCTTAGTGAACTTCACCGTACAGGGTAGTAAACGTGTCCAGTAAAGGCTTGTAAAATGTATATGAGAGTAATAACACAAACTGTCCAAACTGTCAGTCAAACTGTTATTTAGTGAAGGATGACGTACTGCTGTTTTAAGGATAATTTACCTACAGTCGTCGCTCAGCTGTGGTTAATTATGAATATGAGAAGCTCGAAATTGTTATGCACATCTTGCAATATAAAAAGTAAAGCAGGATAATAAAAGTCCATGTGATATAACTCTTCTATATATCAAATGCCTGTTTCTTGAGATGTTTTATAATTCTCTATATAATCTGATTATTATTGATCGTGGTGCATGTCATTATGTGACTATTATACAGTCTTTGTATACAAAGAAACATTTGCAGCTACAACTACAAGGGAACCTGATCCTAAGACAATAGTAGTGTCGACATTCTATGAACACAAGTATGCTAGGGCAGCAATCTTTGTCTTACAGGTTCATCATACAAATCTAGTGTCTTTAGAAGAAACATAAAAAAGATGCTCAGATTTAATATGGATGTTCACATGCTCCCCCCGAATATGAAATACAAAAGGGACAAATCGAATGTTCACAATGATATGTATGTTGTATACATCATTATTCCCGCTACAACCAAAGTCCAAACTCGGGACAGGTTGTTTGTTGCCCCGGATGTTGACACGGTTGTGCCAGTGGGAGTGGGAACAGAACTCGAGCCTGAAGTAACTGAGCTGTTAAAACCAGAGCCTGTTGATATGTTGCTGAACGAGGATGATGAAACCGTGTCCATAGTTGGAGAGGATGTATCTACAGCATTTGTGTTGTTCGTGGACGAAGCTGTAATGCTGGTGGGTGACGTGGTGATTGACGTGGCGATTGACGTGGTAGGTGACGTGGTGGTTGAAACGTTAACCGGTACAGTCACAGCAGATGTCCCTCCTGAAACCTGGGAAGTGGATCTACCGACTGAAATTCCTGTTACTGAAGATTCGTCAGTAGAGGTTGAAACTGTCGTTGGTGTTGAGGTGGACGACGACCTGCTGAAGTCTCCAACCCTCACCACAACCTTTGCTGAACTACTCAAGGAGGGGATGCCATCATCAGTTACTGTCACAGTCAATTCATACAGCATATTTGTGAGGGGTTCAATGCTTCGGACTTCTCCAGACAGTTCATCTATAGCAAACACAGATGATCTATCAAGACTGTAGCGCACTTGCGTGTTGACATCTTTATCCGTTGCTTTAACTGCAAGAATGGGACCGGGTAGCTGACCAAATGTAACGAATATCTCGTAAATACCCTCAGTAAATATCGGCTTGTACATATTTTTTGGCCCAAAAACCAGTGAATAAGAGATATTGGTTGATTCAGTAATGTTCTTGTAGTGGTCAAATATATGTAAATAAAACTTATCATGGTAGTGGGATGTCTGCCAGGCATTAGGTCCTACCATGACATCCTTCCCATCATCTCTGGTAACCTGCAGGAGTGTTTCAGTCAACACTGTCTCTTGTCACGTTGTTCACCAGGCGAGTGTAGGCATAGATTGTGGAGGGACGCTTTGACATCATAACAGTCAGGCCTACGTAAGTATACGTCCTGGTTCTAACAGTCTCGGTTCTTCGTAAACTGAAGGCCGTAACATTAGATGAACTCACTGGAATCGAATCAAGTCCATTTGAACTGTCAAAAACTGCATCAGGCATTTCATCCTCATCTATGATATCATTAACCAGAAAGTCATCTTTTGTGTCATTTGTAGACTCGAGTCTCACCAGATGGACCAACTCGTGATATCCAAGGTCTTCCATTATGGATAACTGAGGATCACCCAGGGGGTTAATGTTCTCAAACGTAGCTGTGTAGTTGTAAAATGTCCCCATTAGACTTGATGTTAGAAACCAGCGAGCAGTCTTGGTCTCGAAGGATTCAATATCTCCAAAGTCTATAGACAGAGAAGGGCTGACAGGATTTCCATCCAGCTGCGCTCCAATTATCTTGAAAGTGACCAACAATCCCTTTTCATTTTCAATGATCTCTGGCTGTGCGGAGGTTATCTTCAGCTGGCGGGCTACACCGTAGGCTTCATTGGTGACCATGACTGCCAGTGTGAAGGGAACAACTGGCTCCGTCACGTTTGAAGTCATCGGGTCATCACCCTGGACGTATTTCTCCTGGAAGTAGTTGACGGTGAGGCTGGGATTTGGTTTAACTGTGATAGTGTCTGGCAGGAGAGGGATGGAGAAGTTGGAGCCATCAACTGTGTAGGAAAGAGTCCCGCCGACATCATAGAGGGTGTCTTCCTTGACTGCTGCTGTGGAGTAGGGGATGATCAGCCATTCTGCTGTACCTGACACGTCTGTCTCCAGCCTGCCTGTACCATCAACTCCAGTAAGACCCACCAAAGTTGGGGTTCCTTTGGAAAAAAGAAGGAACATCATACAAAGTGTTCACAGCTCGTGCAATTTCTACTACTTTAACCTAAATCCTACTCAAAATGAAGACGTGTTTTCTGTTCTATATGATGCAATAGATATAGTTTGAACATGTCCGACTAAATATACTTACCAACTGAAAATTTGTCATTAGCTGATGTTCCAGCGCCATATGTTGCCCTTATGTTTACGGTGACCCGAATGCTATCCAGGGCTGATTGTTCTCCATTTTCTATCTCTAAACGAGCAGTGAAGGCATCTCGGGTGAGGACCAGTTCTTGCACAATACGTACTCGAACCTTGGCACACACTCCATCATCGCTCCCACCCTGACGAAAAAGATGACATGGACTTTCAAACAAGTACAGTATCATTCTGCACATCAACGTATTCACTTGAACCATGGCGTAAACGTGAAATGTGTGGATACACTATTTCCGATGTGTTTCCAATAAAATCCCATGAACAATCATGTGCCTCCTACTAGCAACAGTCGGGCTAAGTATTTAGAAATACGTTTCCATCGTGATCTAATCTAGGATGGAACTGTTTCTCAAATAAGCAAGCATTAAACTGACATGGGGGATAGTTAGGGGTAGGGGTTGGGGGATGGACTTTAATCTCAATAATCTGAATGACCTAGATACAGTTAGTTAATCAGTTCATGATAATGTACTAACTTTAATGTGACAATCATAGGAAGCGTATGTCATCTTTTGGAAAGTGTGACTGAACTTTGATACACAATACACAGGATTACAAAATATAATAAATGCGTAGTCTTGTCATGTATTCACCTTCTTTTCTTTTTCTTGATAGGCATTGACTGCATTTCCAAAGTCATCAAATATATGGAGTCAAATCCTCTCTGGAATGATCAAACATGACACTACTGTGTATTTGAACAAGAGGATTATTGAGCGATTATTACCCAAATCTTCAAGGGGAACAATGTGTTCATGTTCATGATACCGAGACAAAAGAAAACAATTTGTTTTTAGCAGGGACGACTGAGGCATCGTCGGTTGAGTTATCGATTTGACTTCACAGGCTGTGCATAATGAAAAAAATGTGTACTGAAATATTCGTCAACATGCTGCTTCAATCAGTGGTAATTATTATGATTTGAAACCTCTGCTTGCGGCTTGTGAGATGCAAGTATAATTCATGTCTCTCAAACTTTACAATCCGCATTGAAAACGTCTAAAATACTGTAACACATGAAAAATATGAAACTTACTTGTTTGGCATTTTCCGTGTCTGTCTTAAATTGCGGAAATCTCGACATGATGACATTATATGCAATGACATTGTCTTTAGGGCCAAGGGAAGTGAGTGTTCCGTCCTCCCAAGCTGTCATTGTTTTGTTCCACCTGAGCAGGAACTTCTCTACGATCACCCCCTGCGTGGAGTTCATTGAAGCAACAATGGATGCTATCTCACTAGAGGAGAGAGAGCTTCCCCCTGCACTATCATCAGCCAGGGCTAGGTTGAAGGAAGACATCCAACTGTTATCATACACACCGAACCTGAAAACACAGACACCGTGAATCATGAATACATCAATGTAAACTCCATTAGTTAATTTTCATTATTGTTAGATGCCACTGGTGGGTTAGTTATCGTATATGCATAGCAATAAACGCCCGATGTTCTCCAATTAACTTGATGATTTAACTGTGTTGGTTGTTAAAAGCTGCACTCAATAATATTCCATCTAAATGGCAGCAGCCTGTATATAATTGTGTCTGGACCAGACAATCCAGTGACCAGCATCATGAGCTCGATCTACGTATTTGGGATACGATATGTCAACCAAGTCAGCGAGCCCGACCACCCGATGCCCTGAGTCGCTTCTTACGACAAGCGTTGGTTACTGAAGACACATCAACACGGAAGTCAAGCCTTACATTTCTTGTCCTCCAAAGACTTCCTCCAACATTATCATGTAGTTCCTGAGGGCAACGTTACTGTTCACCACTCCTTGGATGATCTCCCCATTTGTAGCACGTCGACGTCGGTTTGAGCTACAGTCTCTGTTCATTTCATATATGCACCTAAAGAGAGCGAATGATTTGGGATTAACGCTAACTGATCAATTATATATGCATTCATATCAGAGATGCTAATATTTATGTGATGCTGAATGTAGATATTAACCAATTTTGGGAAACTCATGAGCACATGTGCACACATTTCCTACAAATCATTATCAGGTCGAAGTTGAGATTAGGATCTACGAAAGTTCATATGGTAGCTATAAATACCGTCACGTTTAAGGACAAGACATGGTGAGATCTATTACATACACTGGAAAGTTTCCTTGAATTGTCAAAATAAATAAAGCTTTTAGATAAATGTTGTAAAGTACACACCCTCCATAATATAACAGCAAAGGTCAAGATTTGTTCATGTTCAAATACAGAAACGTGCTTCTAACAAGGTCTGACAAGAGTCTTAAACAGTACAACAATCATGTCCAACTCTAAACATGAACCAGTCATCGCACTTATTACACATTCACACTTTATGTATTTTTAACTTACACAACAGCTTGCCACAAAGTAAGACCTAGAGCACACTGAGGACACACGACAGGGAGGACGCATGCAGTAGCAAAGTCAAAGATTGCTTTAGCAAATCCCCAGAAGCCACTGGCACCAGCAAAACCTGTCACTGCTACGGCGCATCCAGCAATTGGATGAAAACCCAAAGCACACGTCTTGATGAGCGTCCCAGCACAGTTACAGGTGAGTGGAGTCACGGGATTGTAGACAACAACTGAACTAGATGGAGATGACCCACCACCACCAGTACCTGAAACCAAATACTTTACATGAACTTTGTTTTGTTTTCAAATAATGAAAACGGGCAGGGACGCACGGGACACTGATAAATAGATGATACATTATCTCTGTACGCATTACCTGATATTCCAACATAACCTCCTCCTCCTCCTCCTCCTCCTCCCCTTCTTCGACTACCTCCACCTCCACAGGGCAAGGGAGGGCGTCCTGGATACACCCTTGTCAGAGTGATGTCCTGGCCTCCAGTTCTTGTACCACCACAAAAGTAATCGTAAAGCATTTTCAAACCACATGCCGATGTGCCTAGGTTCCTCTTCACTCGAGGCTTCAGTTTAACCAAGACTGGAACAATGATGCTTGTGTTTGCCGCTACGTCTCCTATCGGATCTATTGTCTGGGAGGGCGATACAGACAAATGTTATTACACCACTTACGCAATAGAGACTTGGCATTATTGAAAAAGTTCATTGCTGATTGCACAAACTCACACATTTTTAATCAGTGTTTATATTACTGAGATAACATTCTTCCAGGAGGCCAGTCTGTGATTGATCAGTTTTTACAATACTTAATCTATGATTACACAATCCCATATTTAATATTTAATCTAAACAAATATTTGTATTGAACTTAAATTGGTTATAAGTACTTATAGTTTTTAATGATCGGTGCATCATGTTGGTAATGGGCGTTCCACTTAAAATATAATCATGTTGTGGTGTGTTTGTTTACCCTTAGTATACATGGTCGCCAAAACAGTTCCAGAATATAATAATAACTGAAATGTGTAGAATGCTTCAAATGGGACCCACGAATGTTTTAATACGGTACTTAATACGGCCAGATGTTTCAACTTTAAATGATGGAGAAGAGCTAAGGTATGGTACTTCTAGACAATGCCATAACTTAATAACTGAAATGTTTCTGGTAAGCAAAACATCCTAATATGCATGCAAATATTTGACCCTTCCACGATGTATATATTTGAGAAATATGAGGTTAAGAGACACAAGCAATGATGTCCACACGCATGTGTGGTTATAGCAAGCAACATACTCACCTGTGTAAAGATCAATGTCGGATGACTTGGCAGAGCAAACCTGACATTGTCTGCCCTGATCAGGCCGTGATTGGTGATGTTGAAATTGATCACGTCCTTCTTCCCTTCCTCATAAGGAATCAGATTCAGGCTGGCTGGTTCCACGGTGACAACAGGCATAGGTACCTTTACAGATCATTCATATATAGCTTACACAACCATGGATCACCACATACCCATGACGCCATCACCGAGATAGAATAAATATACGCCTTATTAAGGAGAATATGTATTTGTATACCGAGAGTGTAAAAATGGTGAACACCTTGTGATTAAGATAATAAGATCTCTACAATGATCCAATGTGTAAAATAGTCATCAATAAGATATCAGTTACAATTATCAACAAATCTGTTGAGTAATTGCCTAGTGAGTAAAATAACTATTTTCCTTTCAAGAAGCACTAGTGTTTACAATTTACCTGTGTTTCAAAGGTAGAATCCAGAGTGACTATGTATTTGTCCTGAAAGGTTGTGGGGGTGACAGTCCACGTGTACTTTACAGCAACTCTCTGCAGGAAGACGGTGATGGAGGGGTCTGAGGGTTTGGCAATGATCACAGCCGAGTAGGACCCATGTCCAGGAGCGGTGGCAGTCAGCGTGTATCGATCTTCATGCACATCCTCAAACACCACAAACTCTGTGAATAGAAAAACACAATTACAATTAAAAAGTAAGTTTTTTACGTATCTTTAAGCAATATTCCAGCAATACCACGGCGGGACATACCAGAAAAGGACTTCACACACTATACCCATATGGGGATTCGAACTCTTTGGCGTAACATATGTCAGCTGTATATGGTATATAAGAATTCATATTACAAGCAGGGATATCATTATTACATGATTGTTGTGTATCTATATTTTAAAAACAACCACGTTTTGTCATGCTTAATATATATTTCACTGAAATTAGGACCCTTGATCATTTGTCTTAAACCAAAAGGGGCGGTGGGGTAGCCTAGTTGGTAAAGCGTTCGCTCGTCACGCCGAAGGCCCGGGTTCGATTCCCCACATGGGTAAAATGTGTGAAGCCCATTTCTGGTGTCCCCCCGCCGTGATATTGCTGGAATATTGCTACAAGCGGCGTAAAATCAAACTCACTCACTCACTTAAACCAAAACATTACCATAGGAATTGTTTCCGTAGGAATATTTGATAGGCAACATACCTGTTTGATTATTGGTTATTTTTCTGTTCCGTGTATCTTCTTCTAGGATTTTGAAGAGTCACAACAGCACCAGACACCAATGGCTTGTCAGAGGCGAAATATGTGTATTCATCTTCTACCCGAACTGTGATGTTTAATTTCTCCTGGGATGTCACATAGAACCTGTAAGAGATACTAGCAGAAGACAGATCCGAGTTCAGGGCTACGCTGCCACTAAACTGGCCTAGACTGTCAGTTGCGCCAGTCGTGACTGTCAGGACCAAGATGGCCGTCTCATTTGGGTGTAGGTCAAGGCCATCTTCTGAAGCTGTTGTAGTTGTTGTAGAGTATGCAGACATCGTAAGTCTTGGTTCTGAAGGTAGTGTTACTCTTGATTTAGCGGTGACCTCGCCTTCGTTCTTGATATTAATCTGTTGACAGGAATTACAAGTTTGTTCCAGACATGACATTCCTGATATTCGAGAACTTGAGATTATTTTGGTGATGTCTTCAAAATAAACCATGGTATATATAGGTTTTGTTGGCATTAGTGCCGATGAAAGATAAAAATACACACAGAAATAGTTAAAGGAGAATACGAGTGAATTGCAATAATTTGCTTGGTGAAAGATAAAGTCATCAGAAACATATTCCCAAATTTCAATTAAAAATTATGTATAATAATGTTTTAATCGCAAAAACAATTTCTGTAAATCTCAGCTTCGGCCATTATGCATATTTTGCTGGAACCCACGTGACCTTTCCGTTCGTGACGTCAAATGTGCCTGGAGTCCGCCATATTGCCAAAGACCAAGCGCTACAGTAGTACAAATCGTGTTGTTTCTGTCCTTTTTTGTAAATGGTACGATGGTGTATTCTGTTGCCTAGGGATGCACGGAATCATCGAACAATGGAGAGCCACCATTTCTTCCGTTTTCCAAGTAAAGAGACAGACTTAGGCAGGAGAAATGCTCCGATCATTCCGAGTCGGACGCATATGAAAGAGACTGTGACGTTCTTTTCGGTTTGGAGCCCTAAATGCTACAGACTACCCGAAACATTGCCGAATACAACGGCAAATCATGAAGTACTTGTTGCTTTCATTGTTTTCCATTTTTTGCAATTACACACGTCGGCATCAGACTCGCTATTTGTCTGTAGTGTGTGCCGTGAAAGTTGTTCTGTGTTCACATTGGTTGAAAAGATGCCATACTAAGGCTATGGCCGAGAACCATAACTATTTCCATAACCAAACACTGGGGAAACATACATTGTCCTGACAAGTATTTTATAATTCACCAGTTTTCGGGGAATAACTTATCTGCGCCACGAATATTATCTCTGTTCGACCAGGCTGGGATTTTGTGTGGAGACTTGCTGCGTTATAAATGAGAACTAGGATCCTTAAAAAAATTCAACAAAATAACTCCAGTGTAATTTTTGTAGCAGATAATTTCTATTTTCCCCGTCTGAAGCAAAATTATTGTTTTTAAATCCCAGTCACCCATTTGACACAAAAGGAACTGCAATCACATTGCAAAAAATATAATTCTTAGGGACTGGTCATATACTTATAGGGGTGGGTTTGCTGGTTGGAACTGTATCACATTTTTCAGGCAAATAGTATTCTTGTTAAATGATAAGGTACATTTTTAATTTATTTTGAACTCAAGCGGTGCCTCCGTTTCGCTTGATTCTTCTTCTTCATCTTCACTGGAAGATTGTCTTGCAAGATGTAAAATCGGATCGTATTGATACGGTCTAACATCCATTTCAGAAGTGACATCAGGAACACCTTTTACTACTTCCATGGACACTGTTAAGTTGTGAGGTAAAATCAAAGAGGCAGCCATCAGCAACAGGCACATATGACGTCATGTCACGTGATACCCCCTCTGCTCATTAACTGTTGGGTGTTTCCGTAAAAGGTGGAAATACGAGTACGTTTTTTGTGGTTTTATTGCTATTTTACAAACTTTTTGTTCAATTTTAATCACGGAAGGTGACTTTTAGAATATCCTTTACAATATATCAAAAGTTTTGTTTTCGTCTGGATTCTCCTTTAAGTTAGCCATCTTATTAGACATAATTTATATTCCACAGAAAACGTACCTGGAACGTCTTCTGTGTTCCTCTGGGAACACTATCTGACAGAGATGATGGCGAGAGGACCAGAGCAGGTTTTCGGACATTCAGCTGCAATCCTATCCTAACTCTGGCTGTGGTGCCATCGGGTGTACTGAACACAACAGCAATAACACCACGGAGGGGATGAGATACTGTGAGGATCACATCTATGGACACTTCAGAATCTGTATCCAAGAATACTATAAGTGGTTGAGAACCATCGCTTGAAAGTCTGTTTCCAGCTCTCACAACTACAGATGATAATGGACCACCAATGCCTTCTACCTGATAGCACAGAAACAGAACAGTTGACTTGTCAACATTATTGCTTCATGAAAAAGCAGATGAAGGAAGACTTTTTAAAGGATGAACTTGTGTTGTAAATTTCATTGCACTCGGTGACAAAAGACGTGGACGATGTCTATGAAATTTGCTATTATCATGTGGATATATAGTTAAAAGCCCTACAGAACATTATTTCAACTCACTCTGGCTGTGATATTACTGATCCTATTGACGCCATCATTCTTGAGTACAGAAACACCCCGCATCTCCACCACGTCCGTGTCCAAGTAGGCTTGTCTATTCACATATCCTGGCACACACATCATCCCCAACACACTCCAGGATTTCTGAGGAGTGAACCCATTATCGGATGGATGGCGGCCATCCTAAAGGAGAGGCAGCAAAAGAAAATTAGTAAGATAATGAACCAAACAAAAGTATTACACTAACTGAATGCTTCAATGGAGGTATGTGTACTAACTGAAGGATAGTAGAATACTTTACCACTTCAAACAGTCCACTGTCACCAGCTTTAGGGAAGTACACTGCTTCAAAACGTTCCCTGTTCCTCGGGGATGTCACAATGGACATCGTTGTGATTCTGCCTTTATTTCGTACCCTTAATAGAAGAAGAATGCTATAAAGCGTCTAAAAATATTAAAACAGTCTCCGAGTGAAAAAAGAGTCTCATTCTAAGGTACACTACATCAGAAGATTCATATCTAACCATTAGGTTTGATAATACATTCACTGACTCACTATTATTATGCCAAATTCCAGTGCGAACTTTATCTTTGATGCTACTATCAATGAAAACGCAAAACAAGATCATATGAAAACTCACTTAACATCCACAAAAGCAATCAAAGATTGAGAGGTTCCACTAAAATAAGTGACCATTCCTCTGATTTGGATGGTTTTCGGAACATGAAGAACCCCGCTGGGTGTCACATCCTCTATTGTGATGTTATATGACAGCTGGACTTTCAGTGACCACTGGACCTCAGAACGTCCTATACGGTTGGATGCTCTGACGTTGATGATATACGTCTGGACACTGGCTACTGTCCTCTCCCAGAAGATGAGCCCGGTCTTTTGGTCAATTGTCATTCCAGAAGGGGCTCCATATATGTACCAATCAATTGGAGCATTGCCCTGTAAATTGTAGACCACTCTATATATTGCCAATGGTATTTCATCACTCCAGTATTTCACGGTCCAGAGAACTTGAAAATAATTCTTTAAGATACTAGAAATTTTGCATCCGCAGTGTAGCCGGTATGCAATTGGGATACGATGTCATGAAGACCAATTCTAACGTGTATCGTTACAAGTCAGTTCACTTAAGCAAATAATCAATCTCAAATATCTGGTGAAACAGTTAGCACTGGGAGAAAGGCAAAATAGGGATTAAAATTATCCGAATAGGTCATTGAAAATGAGCGTCATTAGGTCTTGAGCTCATGAAAGTAAATCTATATATGACAGATGATTGAGCACAGATAGCTAGGCAGTGGTAGTTAACCTGTCATTACAGATAATATGTGACGTCCTGAAATATCATTCAGAACCAACAGATGCGCGCGGTGACTACATCTTTTAGGAAGAACATTTTTACTACGCACCTGAGGTAGCTGTGACGTTCACATGGGCAAATACGATGCCACAAGTATTGTGATAAGCAAAATATTACAACCTACCTGAATGAGTGTTAATTGAAGTTGATATTTATTTCCTTCAGCAGCAACCTGCATCTTTTCAAAGAAGGAGATAACTGGTGCCTTCAGCTCGACGCTGCAGTCCTGACCTGACCAGGGCAGGATACATATGCATCCTCCATAGAGGCAGTGGCCATGAGGAGGGCTTTCCGTCTTCCCACAGGCTCCGGGTGGACAAACTTCATAGTACGTAAATGATGTCTGGAGAACAGGAGTTGATAAGATCACATAACATTCACTGTGTACTTTCTTGCGAATGTCACTAGACATCTAGTTCTCAGTTTTGTTTCGTTTCGTTTGGGTTTGGGTTTTTTATCGCCGCACTCAGCAATACTCCAGCTATAAGTCTGTAAATAATTGAAGTCTGGACCAGACAATCCAGTGATCAAAAGCATGAGATACGATACACAACTGAGATACGATGAGAGCTATCAACCAAGTCAGCGAGCCTGACCACCCTATACCGTTACGACAAGAATGGGTTGCTATAAAAACAATTCTAACCCGGAATTTCATGGGTATCTCGTTCTCAGAATATATAGGGATCAAACTTGATGATTAAGCTTGACAAATAACCACCTTTCTCACACAAGACCCTCTCATTCCGTCTCACTTGCATTTATGTAGACTTAGCTTTTTACCTGATTTCGAGTAAACTGTAGCCCATCAGGAGAAATCTCCACAGTTATACTGCCTGCTTGATGCTGAGCATTCCTACACATGACGTGTTCCTTCGACATGCGCGTGCCATTGACCACTGTGGAGTCGAATCTACAGTAGAAGATATTGTTGTCTGTCTCTGGGAAGTTGTGTCCCCAGATGTGCACGTCTGTTCCTCCAGTGTCAGGGCCAGAGCTTGGGATGATGTTCAGGACATTTGTGTATGGAAGACAGTTGGGGCCATAAAACGTCTCACTGCACGTGTCGCACAAATCGCCTGACCAGTTGTCAGCAACGCAATCACAGTTGCCTGTTTGAATTAGAATACGAATATGTAAACAAAGTACTTTAATGATTCCATACTATTCATCCGACTGCAAAATTGCAATAACAGGGGTCTATTGTAATATTTTACCCGATTTCGAGTAACTTTTCTGAATCAGGATAGATATCTTTAATTACAACGCCCGCTTCATGGTAAAGACTGAGGGGTCACATTGAAACAAGTTTCATAATTTCACAAGATCACATGTAAATAGAAACATACTTGTTAATAATTGTCAACTTACCATTTGTGAGGTTGCAGTATCCATGGTTGCACTGAGGACAAGGAAGGCAACGGTCTCCCCATCGTAAGGGTGCACACTTGGAGCAGTCAGTTCCGCTATACTGGGGAAAACATGTACAACTCTCAGGCAACACACAATATCCTCTTTCATTTCCACCACAGTCATTTACTTCATGGCATGTGGCAATGACACAGGATGGCCCTCCCATCCCAGAGAACAATCGCATTGGTTTGGCCCCTTACACAAACCATTTCCATTACAACTGCTAACACCAGAACAGTCGAAGTCAGAACAATCCACTCCAGCCCAACCTTCGTCACATCTGCACCCATTTGGCCGAACACATTCACCCTTATCACTGCAGTTCTGCACCTCTGAACAGTCGAAATTCTGATCAGTGAGAAGTGGAAGGTAGTCCACCTTGAGGAGCCTCTGGTCAAGATCCTTGTGTAGAATCCGTTGTCCGGCAATGGCTGGATCAGCACTTCCCCACCAGTTGTGTTCAGCATTAATCTGCTCCTCTCCAGTTAACAGGATCTTTAGTTCGTAATCAGCTCTCGGGTTATCAAACGTGTTATAATAGAGACTAACGTTTTTCGAGTCTAACAAGACTGTCCCTTCATCGGTGGGGGAACTGAATATCTGGTTATAAGTGAGCGTCCCATTAAATTCAAATTTTGTTGATTTTACATAAACAACACATCGACCTGTGATATTTTGGAAACTATTGGTTGACAGACTGATATTTTGAACTTTGTCACCACCTCTTGTATCATCCACCTCCACATTCAGGAAACATTTGTCCCCACCAAATGAACTCTTGAAAGAGTTGTCTTCAATGTAAAGAGATGCTAGGTTTCCTGAATACGCTGATACTTGACCAGTTGATTTGAATATGTTCCCCTTGATGACGCAACTGTTTTCACTGTAACGATAATACGTACTCCCCACTCTGGCATCCATGGACTTAACATTATTACTAAATGAATTCTGTTCCACGTACACCTTGGTATTCGACACTGATGTGTAATGCAGTTGAAGGCCCGAGCCTCCCAAGCCATGATCCACAAATCTGTTGCTCTTTATGTGTAACACTCCTTTGTTGATATGTTTAGTCACCTGTGTTTCCAAACCATGAAGACTGTTATTAACGATGTTCATTGTTTCAACCGTTGTAGGAGCCGATGTCCCAAATAAGACAATTCCACTTCCGTGATTGTGTTGTGTTGTGCCATTCCTGAGACGGAAAGCTTTAGTTACTTTAGCCAATATACCTGTTGACTGCCCATGTTCTACAACTGTTCCGTTCAGGTCAAGGTCAATGGTGTCAGTCTGGACAGTGAGGCCTACTTTCTCTGTGTTGTTGATATGGCAGTTGGACAAGCGTACTGTGGGAGTCTCCACCACAAGACCAGTTATCGAATCCTGGATGGACACTCTTTCCAGGTAGGAGACTGGAAACAGAACATATACAATAAATCCAACTTGTCAAAGGAGATACCGGAGATCACCTTCATTAAGTAATGCGACATCTTGAGGCCAAAGAAACTGTATACACGCACGATATTTCACACCATGTAAACAAACTTTAACTGTGAATATTTCAACTTGTGTTGTCATCCCATCAACATCAACATCAACCATCAACCATCTATCCACCACAACAATCTAGTTTAATCTCATTCTATGCTTAACACTTTAAACATATCAGCAAGTAATAGCTGCGTATGGAGAAAATAGATATACCAAACGATTTTCATATAATAATATGCAAAACCAGTAAGCAATATTTGAATCTGACAAAAGACTCACTATAGATGATTTTCACACACTTTCCCTTTATATGTTTGTGTTTTACAATGACTTCACATCAGTTTGGCCTGGATATGTGAGTTTTCCTTACATGT